GAAATATATTTTAATGCAAAATATGGAAACTGTTTAATTATTGTTTTGTTTAAACACTTATGATTGAGGTAGCATATTCCCAATGATAAAATATGGCCAGTACTTTACCTCTAATATATGTAGCTAGCTAGCTAGATAGATATGTGTGTGTATATATATATATGTAGATATATATATATGCATATCAAAAGACATTTTATGACTTGCATCATAATGTCAGCTTTAGATGGATTAAGTTGACTTGCAAAGAACAAGACTCTTAAATTTATTCTGTTTAAACAATGCACGGCAAATCCCTTCCATGTAATCTAAAAGAAGGATTACCATAAATGAGAAAACTCTGTAGAAAGACTCAGTGGAAATCTTAAAAGTCATTCTTTATCTCCAAAACATTTCAGTGTGCCAAAAGTTACAATAAACACAGATTTAGTGTAACCATAGGACAATAAAATAAAGTGAAAAGTTTTAATATCATAAAAGGACTCTTATACCTGAAAGGAACAGTACTTTTTACTTAAATTTTGCAAAATAGACTAAATATAAGAAACCAAGTACCCTCATAAGCATCTCATAAAAGATAAAAATCAGAAAACAAGCAGAACCTTTTTATATAAAATATACAAATTAAAACAGAGGGAGGAAAAAATATACTTTAGTAGTACATGTTAAGTATATATAGATCTGGAAAAATACATCACATTTTAATGCTGTTTCTTTTTTCCTTGCTTCACTTGAGAGCAAAGAAGAAACTATCATTTCTTGAGTACGCACTGTGTGCCAGAAACTGTTAGGTAATTGAAATGCACTATTTTACTTATTTCAAGAAGTTTCTCTTTTAAAATGAACTCAGCCTATAATGTTAAAATATTGTATTCCTACTACAATCAGAAAAACTAGATGTGAAAAATAATCGGTAAATATTTTCATAGATGTATATTCATAGAGTGCATGTTTTGCCTTGCATTTCTACTTATTTATCTAAAATAATTACTTTCCAAAAATTTTCCTGGCAGTATGTCATGTTTTAGAGGAAAAATCTTTACAAGTTGGCTACATTATGTTTTTTTTTTCGTCTGAGCATCAGAAACAAATGTGTATAAGGCAGTGTATCTTGAATATTTAATTATTTAATGCCACTGCAGTGCTCTTCGAATATAAAAGGGGAATGAGCTATAAACTTTGATGTTATATAGTGAGTATAAAGAATGACCCATGCTAAATGAAAAGTGATCAACATTGCATAATATTTAAATAAGTGTAATTTGATATTGTGAAATATCTAAAGTATTTTTTAAAAAGTTTATGGGTTGAACAGGAAGGAAAATAAAACAATTCATGGAAAGGTATGGAAATTGACATGTTAATCTTTACAAAGATGGAAACAGTATTTCCGGTTAAGGAGATAAGAAGTACCAAGAGGAAAAGAAAGAGTAAATGTGACAGGCATTAGGAATTAGCAGATGGTGTTTCCAGGAATAATGGCCACATGCTAGGGAGTGGCAGAATCTAAGATTGGGTGGGCTAGATAAAGCTAACATAGCAAAGTAGAATCAATCTTATGCTTAAATGTGGAAGTTTAATTTTATTTGCAGCTATTTTATGTCTTAAAGTAGAGTGAAGAATAATGCATGACATTCCACAAAAACAATCTTTAAATACTTATGTTTGTCAGAGTGAGGGTGTACAAATAGATAAACTGTCTCCAAGGTGATCAGTTACAAAACTATTGTATTTCTTCAGACTTAAGATAATGTGTGACCCAGGTTGGGGTGATGTTAATAGTAACTGAGAAAAAAAACAATGATTCAAAAATTATTCAATTAATAAAAAATATTTATAATATTTTAGATCCATAGAAATGAATAGAAGATTGAAATGGAGGATGAATAAAAATGCCATAGACAGAAATTGTATAGTGAGAAAAACACCAGTGGACTCTTGTCTGTTTCCCTCACTAACTATGTATGTAAATCTAAGCAAGTCACATTCACTCCGAAGTTTGTTTCTCCTTCCATAAAATGAAGAGATTGGATTAAGCCTCTTAAACATTCTCTAAATACTGGAATGGACATGATAACTAAGGAGTAATAATAAAAGTGTTTGATAATGTTGTATGAGGTAAAGATGGCACATCTATGTTTGATACGTGGGAGAAGGAAAGATTTAATGCTTAGGTGTTAAGGTCATAATCAATTATGTGCACTTGTGAGACATAACATTAACAATGTTATCAATTACAGTTAGGTGAACAGACTAGACCTCAAAATTCAAACATCACAGATATATATGTGGATAAACAATTAAACAAAACCATTATTCATTATGTTTCTGACATTGTGGTATATACTCTCCTTGGGCCAATTATTATTTAACAACCTAGTTAAATATTCAGTTGAAGGAAATATTAAGGAACTAGCTAAAATTTAAAGGTTTTGGAAGAAATAGTCAAATGAACCAATTTTATTCTTTAAAAATGAAGTTATCAAATTATAAATGCAGATCCTATTTTTTTTTAACTTTTAACTTCAGGGGTACATGTGCAGGTTTGTTACATAGGTAAATTTGTGTCACGAGGCTTTGTTGTACAGATAATTTCATCACCCTGGTATTAAGCCTAGTACCCACTAGTTATTTTTTCTAATGCTCTACCTCCCACCCCTCACCCCACTCTCCTCTCCAATAGGCCCCAGCGTATGTTGTTGCCTTCTGTTTCCATGTGTTCTCACAATTTAGCTCCCAGTTATAAGTAAGAACATGCAGTGTTTGGTTTTCTGTTCCTGAATTAATTTGCTAAGAATAACAGCCTCCAGCTCCATCCATGTCCCTGCAAAGAACATAATTTTGTTTTTTATGGCTGCATAGTATTCTGTGGTATATATATATATTATACTTTCTTTATCCAGTCTATCACTGATGGGCTTTTAAGTTGATTCCATGTCTTTGTTATTGGGAAGAGTGCTGCAATGAACATACACAAGCATGTGTCTTTATAATAGAAATATTTATATCCCTTTGGATATGTGTCCAGTGATGGGATGCCTAAGCTGAATGATATTTCTGTTCTTAGCTGTTTGAGAAATTTCCATACTGTCTTCCACAATGGTTGAACTAATTTACACTCCCACTAACAGAGTATAAATGCTCCTTTTTTTCCACAACCTTGCCAGCATCTGCTATTTTTTGACTTCTTATTAATAGCCATTCTGAATGGTATGAAATGATTTCTCAAATGATCAATGATGTTGAGCATTTTGTCATCTGATTGTTGGCTGAATGCATGTCTCCTTTTGACAAGTGTCTGTTCATGTCCTTTGCACACATTTTAATAGGATTGTTTTTGGATTTTATTTTTTTTCTTGTAAATTTAGGTTTCTTATAGATGATGAATATTAAACCTTTGTTGAAGGCATAGTTTTCAAAATTGTTCTCCCATTCCGTAGATGTCTGTTTACTCTTTTGATAGTGTCCTTTCCTGTACAGAGACTCTTTTGTAATTAGATCCCATTTGTCAATTTTTGCTTTTGTTGTAATTGCTTTAGGTGTCTTCATCATAAAATCTTTGCTTATGCCTATGTCCTGAATAGTATTGCCCAGGTTGTCTTCCAGGGTTTTTATAGTTTTCGGTTTTACATTTAAGTCTTTAATCCATCTTGAGTTAATTTTTATACATGGTATAGGAAAGGAGTCTAGATTCAATCTTCTGCAGACGGCTAGCCAGTTATCCCAGCACCATTTATTGAATGGTGAATCCTTCCCCCATTGCTTGTTTTTGTCAGGTATGTCAATGACCAGATACTTGCAGATGTGGGATCTTATTTCTGGGTTCTCAATTGTGTTCCTTTGGTCTATGTGACTGTTTTTGTATTGGTACCATTCTGTTTTGGTTACTGCAGCCCTGCAATATATTTTGAAATCAGTCAGCATGGTGCTTTCAGCTTTGTTCTTTTTGTTTAGGATTGCCTTTGCTATTTGGGTTTTTTGTGATTCCATATGAATTCTTAGATAGTTTTTTTCTTGTTCCAGGAAGAGTATCAATGGAAACTTAATGGGAATAGCATTGAATCTATAAATTGTTTTGGGCAGTGTTGTCATTTTAATGATATTGATTCTTCCTATGCATAAGCATGGAAGGTTTTTCCATTTGTTTGTCATCTCTGATGTCTTTGAGCAGTGTTTTGTAGTTTTACTTGTATAGAACTTTCATCTCTCTAGTTAGCTGTATTCCTAGGTATTTTATTCTTTTTTATGGAAATTGTAAATGGGATTGCCTTCCTGATTTGGATGTCAGCTAGACTGTTGTTAGTGTATAGGAATGCTAGTCTCTTTTGCACATTGATTTTTGTATCCTGAGACTTTGCTGAAGTTGCTTATAAGCTTAAGAATTTTTTTGGGCTGAAACGGTAGGGTTTTCTAGATAGAGGATTATGCCGTCTGCAAACAGGGATGGTTTCAGTTCCTCTCTTGCTATTTGGATGCCTTTTTCTTTCTCTTGCTGGATTTCCTTGGCCAGGACTTCCAATGCTATGGTGAAAAGGAGTGGTGAGAGAAGGCATCCTTGTCTTTTGAGGGTTTTTAATGAGAATGCTTCCAGTTTTTGTCCATTCAGTATAATGTTGGCTGTGGGGTTGTCATAGATGGCTCTTATTATTTTGTGGTATGTTCCTTCAATTACTAGTTTCTTGAGAGTTTTTAACATGAATGGGTGTTGAATTTTATCAAATGCCTTTTCTGCATCTATTGAGATAATCATATGTTTTTTTCTTTCATTCTATTTATGTGATGAATCACATTTGTTGATTTGCATATGTTAAATCAACTTTGCATCCCAGGGATAAAGCCTATTAGGTCATGTTGCAGAAGGCTTTTCATGTGCTGCTGGATTCATTTTGTCAGTATTTCATTGAAGATTTTTGCATCAATGTTCATTAAAGATATTGAACTGAAGTTTCCTTGTTTTGTTGTATCGCTTCCAGGTTTTGATATCAAGATGATGCTGTCCTCATACTGAGTAGGAGAGGAGTTCCTCCTCTCCAACGCAGTATTTTGGAAGAGTTTCAGTAGGAAAAGTACCAGCTCTTCTTTGTACATCTGGTAGAATTCTGCTGTGAATCCATCTGGTCTAAGCTTCTTTTGGTTGGTAGGCTATTTATTACAGACTCAGTTTCTGAGCTTATTATTGGTCTGTTCAGGGATTCAGCTTCTTCCTGATTCATTCTTGGCAGGTATGTATGCCCATGAATTTGTTCATTTCTTCTGTATTTTCTAGTTTATGTGCATAGAGGTGTTTATAATATTCTTTGATGGTTGTCTGTATTTCTATGATATCAGTGGTGATATCCTCCTTCTCATTTCTGATTGTGTTTAGTTGAATCTTCTCTTTTTTTTTCACTTTATTGGTCTACTTAGTGGTCTATCTATATTATTTATTTCTTTCAGGAAGCCAGCTCCTGTATTTGTTGATGTGTTGAGTATTTTTTCATGTGTCAGTCTTTTTCAGTTCAGCTCTGATTTTGGGTATTTCTTATCCTCTGCTAGCTTTGTTATTTGTTTGTTCTTGGTTCTCTAGTTCTTTTAGTTGCCATGTTAAGTTGTTAACTTGTAATCTTTGTTACTTCTTGATGGGGGCATTTAGTACTATAAATTTTCCTATTAATAATGCCTTAGTTGTGTCCCAGAGATTCTGGTATGTTGCATTTTTGTTCTCATTAGTTTCAAAAAACTTCTTGAGTTCTGCCTTAATTTTATTGCTTATTGATAAGTCATTTCAGAATATGTTGTTTAATTTCCATATAATTGTATGGTTTTCAGTGAATTTTTGAGTGTTGAATTTAATTTTTCTTGTGCTGTGGCCTGAAATATTGTCTGTTACAAATTCAGTACTTTTACATTTTCTGAGGAGTGTTTTACTTCCAATTATGTGATAAAATTTGAATTATGTTCCATGTGGAAGTGAGAAGAATATATATTTTGTCGTTTTGTGGTGGAGAGTACTATAGATATCTATCAGGTCCATTTGATCCAGTGCTGAGTTCAGGTCCTAAATTTCTTTGTTAATTTACTGTCCTGATGTGTCTTCTCTTGTCAGTGCGATGTTAGTGCGATGCTAAAGTCTCTCACTACTATTGTATGCTTGCAATCCCTGCTTGCTTTGTTTGTTTTCCATTTGCTTGGTAGAGTTTTCTCCATCTCTTTATTTTGAGCCTATGTATACCATTGCATGTGTGTCTTAAAGACAGCATACCATTTGGTCTTGGATCTTCATTCAGCTTTCCATTCTGTGCCTTTTAATTGGGGCTTTCAGCCCATTCACATTTAAGGTGAGCAATGATATATGTAGATATAATCCTGTCATCATGTAGTTGGCTGTTTATTTTTCAGACTTCTTTTTGTGGTTGCTTCATAGTGTCACTGGTCTGTATACTTCAGTGTGTTTTTGTAGTGGCTGGTAATGGTCTTTCCTTTTCATATTCAGTACTTGTTTCAGGAGTTCTTGTAAGACAGATCTGCTGATAATTCAATCAACATTTGCTTGTCTAAAAAGGATCTTATTTCTCCTTTGCTTATACAGCTTACTCTGGCCAGATATGAAATTCTGGGTTGGAATTTCTTTTCTTTAAGAATTTTAAATGTTGGTTCCCAGTCGTTTCTCACTTGTAGGGTTTTAGCTGAGAGGTCCACTGTTAGTCTGGTGGGCTTTTCTTTGTTGGTGACTTGACCTTTCTCTCTAGCTGCCTTTAACATTTTACCTTCATTTTGACCTTGGAGAATCTGACGTTTCTGTGTCTTGGGGATGATCTTCTTATGAACTATCTTACTGGAGTTATCTGCCTTTCCTGAATTTGAACATTGGCCCCTCTACCTAGGCTGGGGAAGTTGTCATGGATGATATCCTGAAATATGTTTCCCACATTGGTTCCACTCCCCTCATCTCTTTAATGGACACCAGTCAGTCCTAGTGTTTGTCTCTTTATATAATCCCATATTTCTCAGAGGTTTTGTTTGTTCATTCTCATAAACATATTCTTGTTCTATCTTTTTTTCTGAAAGCCAGCCTTTATTTTCTCTGCCTCATCTATTTTATTATTAATACTGTAATTGCATTGTAAAATACTTGTAGTGGTTTTTTTTTTGTTTTTTTAGCTCTATTATGTCAGTTACATTCTTCTATATATTGGCTATTTTGTCTATCAGGTATTGCAATGTTTTATCATAATTTTTAGCTTTTTTGCATTGGGTTACAATTTACTCCTGTAGCTCAATGAAATATGTTTCTATCCACAGTTTAAATTCTGTTTCTGTCGTTTCAGCTATGTCAGCATCAGCCCATTTCTGAATCTTTGCTGGATATTTGATATGGTCATTTGGAGAAAAGAAAACACTCCAGTTCTTAGAATTTTTATTGTTCTTGTGCTGATTCTTTCTCATATTTGTGGGCTTATTTACCTTCAAACTTTGAGGTTGCTGGCCTTTGTGTGTATTTTTTTATTTTATCATACTTGATGACCTTGAGGGTTTGGTTATGGTACAAGGTGGATTCAGCCAACTGGAGCTGGTGTTAGCTTGGGGTGGGATTCTGATGGGTTCGTGTCTGGGTGCCTTCTCTGTGTCCTGCAAGGAGTGCTAAATCAGGGTGTGAGAGGATCCCCTGTTTTCTTCACAGGGTTAGCGTATGGATAGGTGCTGGTAAGGGTGAGCCTTTCTGGTTCTGCTCCTGCCAAGGCTCTGTCTGCAGTGGCAGTCGGCAGGGGTTGGGGGAATACTGCACTTCCATGTGCTGGATTGGCAAGTAAAGCATAACACATCCATGTGGACATGCACCAGCAATGTGGTATAGGACCTTATTATGGCCTCATGGGAATCTGCAGTATAGGGAGGGAATGGGCAGGCTGGTGAATGGCAGGAAGAGCTGCCTTGCTGGAGCTCTCCATCAGTCAGGCATAGAAGCTATCCTGTGGGCCACAGGGCACCTCGTAAGCAAGTGTGAACAGACTGTGGCCCTGGGAGAGGCCAACAGACCAAGGGGTGCTCAGGTTGGATTACCCATGGCAGAACCTATTCTAATCAGACATCTACATGATGTATGGAAGCACAGAGGAGGGAATGTCTAACTATTATGGAAATGGGGACTGTTGAAAGCTTTAAAGAGAAATTGCTTCAAAATATTTTTCTAAGAATATTGTAAATATAGCTTTCAGAAAAAATAAGAATAGGAAAATTTCAATCATGTGTCAAAATTGTATTTGTTCTTTATCTCATTTATCTCAGAAGAATATTATTATATATATATAAAATAACAAAGAATACATATATTCTCAAAAAATTCTTTGAGTATATATTCAAATATGGGTATTTGAGTGTAAATATACTCATATATACTCTCTCTATATATATATACATATATACATATACATATCTAAGCTTAGCTTATACATATATACATATACATATCTAAGCTATGATATACATATCTAAGCTTAGCTTATCATATCATTGATATACATATCTATACATATCATAGCTACACATATCATAGATATACATATCTAAGCTATGATAACAAAGAATATATATATATACATATATATATATATATATATCTTACTGGCTTCTATGTACCTAGGAGTATGTGGCATTGTACTGTGGTAGAAAATATTGGTTTCTTTATTGGACCCATGTTTTCTTTTAAAAAATTATAGAAATAGTTGGGTGGCTCTGTAGCACAGACATTTTCCAAAACCTGGTTATTTTAAAATTTCTTCTGCAATCTGGGTGTATATCAGCTGATGGAACTTGACCTTGTTAAATGACTTACCTACACCTCAGGTCTCTCCAGTACTGACAACATACATAACCCTATTGAGAAAGTGGTTGAGTTCTAAATGTTAACTTGTATATTACTTGTTTGAAGATAGGACATTTTCCTTTAGAAATAGTCTTCTAAATAATAAGTTAGACAGTTATCTTCAAAAATATATTTAACCTATATGTTCATTGAAATACATTTATATCATATATTTATCTTAAGTATTTTTTAAAAGCTTTCAATTCTAGCACTTAATTCAATTTGTAAAATAAATAATAAGCCAGCATTTCATTTAGCTTGTTATAGAATGATAAATGAGTTAAATTACAGGATAATGAGACTATAGATACAGATTTCTAGGAAAATGTAAAAGGCTTTTCTGGGCAAGTTGGCACTTTTGGAGGTTTTCAAAATTAAGTTATTTTAAATATTTACTGCCTCATTAAATAATATGGGTTTTCTTTGTATTGATAGCTTAAAAGACAAACAGTTCTATTTTGTGCTACAAAAAGAATCAAGGGAAAGAACATGTAATAGACTGAAATGCATTAGGCTAATCCAGCCAGAAAACGAGATGACTGGGAAGACTTTAGAACCAATCCTACTAACGGAAGACACGGAACGAAGAAGCTCATTATTTCTTACTCCGCTTAATGGTGTAATGGAAGCCCTAGCTGATCCACTAAGCTGATAATATAAATAAAAATGCAAGAATAAGCAACATAGTCTTTATTTATAGATGAAGTAATTTAGTACATAGACAATCCATGAGAATATTAAAATAATTATTAACACTAGAAAGGCAATTCAGCAAAGATGCTAGATACAAAAAAATGTAGAAATAATGGCATTCTTTCTATACAAAAACAAAGTGATTACAAAGTAAAATAGAATGAAGTAGTTTTATTCTTGGTAAACAATAACTACAAAGTATCTTTCTGAAAAATTACAAGATTTGCAAGATTTTTATGGATAATATAACAAAATATTATTTAAAAACATGAAGGACTATCTGAGTGGGTTAAAAATGTAGTAGAATAGTCGAATGAATCAATCTCATAAATTTTTAATTGTTCCCTCATTAAACTAAATATTTAGAAAGAGTATAATCAAAACTTCCAATAGGTATTCTTGTGGAACTTGACATGTTAGTGTTAAAACAACAGGGGGCCATTAATAGCCAAAACAATTAAAAAGAAACACAAGATGGCTGACTATGTATGTCACTATGACGCTGAGTAAATTACAGACAACACAACCAGTGGAATGGAATGCAGAGTCTAGAGAAAGTTTGCTTTATAGATGGATATATGAAAAACTGACCGTTACAAATCAATGCTGAGATAATGAGGCATCCAGATGAAAATAAGTTAAATGAATTTCTTTAAAGGACTATATTCAAAATATATCACAGGGCAT